GTGTGTGCCAAAAACTACACAGGCATTTCCTGACTTGTGTGTTCCACAGCTCTGATGTTACATTTTGTACTTACGACGAGTTCAGACACTGGCATCCTTTGCTGTGAGATTTTAATTGAGGATAAAAATAATTGTAGCCCCAATAATTTTTATTGGTAGTTTGTCATTTAGATAGCCAAAATGAAGTAGTGAAATTATTAATTGAAGCTACATGAAATTTGTTTAGATACTGCAGTACAAAGGTACTATAATGCTAGATTATTTCCTACCTGAACATCCTTGAACCGATCTAATGCCAAAGACTGCCAATAATGTTTTCACACAAGTGACATAGAAGGGGTCAAAATGGAATCCAGGCAGTTTGTTACAGATTCAAAAACTGGATCTATGTATCTATGTAAAGACACAGTGTTTCTTGAAATAGTAATTACATTTATTCTGTTAAATATAGTTTGGCTTTCAGATGTCTTAAGTATCAGTTTCTTTAAGGTGATGTATGAAATGGGTAGGGAGGGAGTTACATCTTTTTTTTTTTCCTTATTCTTATTTTTGTTGTATGAAGAAGACCTGAAAGGTTTTCTACTTGATGATTTCCTTAAAAAATATCAGGAATGTATCAAGGGATGTTCCTTTTTTTGTTGGAGACCTTACTGGAAGACTCCGAAATATGTAGGAATAGTTTGGTCAACCCTTTTTTGAAGGGGCGGGATGTTAAATCTTTAATGAGAAATTTTCTCCAAAGTGTGATAGCTGAATAGCAGCTAAGAGTTTTAAACAGTCTGAGTTTTAAACACTTCCCATTTCAATTAATCAGGGTTCAGTTCCTTTGTATGAGATGTCAAGATCATACCAATTCGTCACTCATCCATACAGTATTCCAGGAGAGACAAGACTTCCATTTCTAATGTAGAAAACAAGAAAATATAAAATCAAATCTTTTCTGGCTGCTGGTAGGGCGTCTAAGTCAGGTTAAGGAAAAGTCAGATCCCCAGAGTGTGGCAGCAATTGATTTTTGTGACAGTTCAGTGGAAAGTGAGAGCTGTAGGGGAGTGTGGAGATTCAGGGAGAGGCAGAGAGGGAGTGGAATGTGATGTTCAAGAAGGAGAGTTTCGCACTTAGGAGAATATGTGGGATAGGAATAGACTGAGAGGAACAGGGGAATGTGAGGTACAGGAGGGAGACAGGTGGCTACTGAGGGGCACATTTGTTAAGTTTACTGATCTGTAATTCCCTGGATCAACCCAATATCTTTTTTTTTCTTCAGATATAGGTATAACATTTGCTACCCTCCAATTCTCTGTGATGGTAGCTTTTTTTAATGAGAGCTTACGTGTTTTTGCGAGCAGTTCAGACACTCAAGACTTTTCCAGAACTCTTGGGATATATCTGATCTGGGCCTAGTGACTGCTTTTTAAGTGATCTATTTGTTCCAGCAACTCTTCTTCTGTCACCTTAGTCTCTGGTAGTATGTGATCTTTATTACCAGAAAGGAGTGGATCTGGGGGAGGAATAACATCCTCTTTGTTGAAGACTATTGTAAAGAAATCATTTAGCTTCTCAACAATGTCCGTATCTGCCTTACTTGATTCCGTTAATTTCTGGTTTATAGTTGAATTTTGAACCTGAAATGATCATACACGCTTTGTAAGGTTATGACAAAAATGTTATATGTACACTCACCCAAATTCTTTTACAGATGTCTATTCTGTCTCTGTTTTTGCATGTAGACTCTGGACAAGAGAACTTAGAGGAACAGTACCAATAGAGTTTAATTTAAATAGATCGACCATTACTGTTTCAAAACTCTCATGCATTTCTGCACCTTAATGAGCAGTGCAGTGGAGTGCAAACTTGCAGTTTGTTTCATTTATGATGTCTTTGATTGCTATGGTAATACAGCTAATAAGTAGTAATAGTGCATAGGGCTGTTTTTTTGAAGTTACTTTTTTGGGAAAATTAAATGGAACATGAAAAAGATTTGTGATATAGCAAATAAGTTTTTAAAAATCTACCAGATTTTATCTCTAGAGAAGTCTGGATTAACACATTGCTAAGGTTTGTCAGACAGCAAGAATGTGTCTTCCCTTCTTTGACACAGCACTGCTTTACTGTACATACCAAAAAAAGACTTGAACACATACACAGGGTTTCACAAATATTAAGTCAATGGAAAAGCCATGAATAGCATATAGGTAAACTATATACATTTTATAGTGAACTTTTAATGCTGTGGAAAGGTCTGATGACCTAAGGAAGACTAGGAAGTCTTCATGGTCTAAAGAAGACATTATAATATCCAGAATGACACTTCTGTGTGCTATAGATATTTCATTGTGGCTTGCAGACTAAAATCTTTGCTGACTTCCTGAAGTCCTCACCTGAACAGCTTGTGTTGAGAGGTTTAGGACAGCTCTGGATCGTGGGCTAACTATTGCATGGATTCCCGTGAAGGTTCACACTACAAATATGTTCCTAGTTTAGAAGTTAATTATGTACATCAGATTGTTACACAGCAATTCTTAATATCTGTTCAATAACTTAAAGAGATTTCCATGCAAAAAACATAATTAAAGGTTAGAGTTAAGACTATAAATAAATCTTTAACTTTAAAGATAGATAAACACTGGAGTCCACAAAATTAAGCACTACAAAGGAAGGAAGTTTAAAGTTAAGGTTTTATCTTTAAACAAAATGTAATAACTTTGAACTATAGAACAAAACAACAAACTATAGAATATATAAAAATGATGAGTTAAATTGTCTCAAACAACCTTATCTCAACCCCATTATCCGATCTATGCTCAAACTCCATTCATAAGATATTCTTAGGCAAGCAAGCTTTACATTTTCCAGCTAAGACAAGATCAACCACGTACTACACATCCCACAATTGAAATACTAATATCTGCATCATCTGCCAACCAAATGGCCGTAGTATCTCCAGTCTGTTCTCTCCTGACCAATTAGCAACTCAAAGATCACACCTTTTAGAGATCAGACACACAAAGACCTATCCAAATCTCATCTTACCTTCCTAATATTGTTCCCTCAGATGCACCATTGGATGCAATGCACCAGCCTTAAATTGTTCTGATCTTCATTGGCAGGCTTCCTGTGTATACTAATAGATGAAAACTTTATTCTGTTTAAGTACAACGGTGTGGCCCCTGCAAGCTGAATTAGTGATACTTATTACAGCTTCATTCCATCTTAACCAGGGACTTTTCTAAGCGTTTCCAAACTGATGTTGGAACTCCATATGTGGTACTAGATAGCACTAAAACTAAGTTGCTGATTTGAGGGAATATTTTTTTTTGTATTGGAATGACCATGTTTTGGTTTATGCACAGTGCCTTACTCTGTTCCCATGGAACATGATTGAGATAGTTGGCACCTGTATCTTTCCATTGGTATTTTTCCTGAAGAAAACAAAAGTGTTTATGGAAAATTGGTCTTCTGTTGCTGCTTTCAGTATTTATGGAGCTTTTTCTTTAATAGTCTGGAAATATTCAGTAGATCCTAAACTGGTCCAGAATTCACACTTATTGTTGATCATCATTCCACAGATACTTGTTTTAATGCTGTTTACTTTCATTGGTCTGATATACAGTATCTCTAATCTAAGCCATCGAGGTTTCGTATTTTACCCAGGACTGAAGTGTGATAAACAGAATGAATGTGAAAGACAGTGATCGCTTTAAAAGAGAGCAGTGCCTATTCCCAAAGAATATACATTCCAGTAATTTTGAATCACAGTTCTTGTTGAAATGGAAGCTTCTCTACAATAATATTTCAAATGAAATGTTTAGACCCCCACCATTAAGAAGTGACTGGTTTGTACAATATCCAGGTGCTTATTGAAAGGTAGTGTGATTGGAAGACTTCTCTAAACTTTGAGGCAATTCTTTATTACATGCTAAATATTTTATTTTGAGTATTTAAAGGCGATTGTAAAGTGACTTCCACAGATTGGTGCAGATTTAACATCAGTAAACTCTCCCTACATGCTTGCTTTTTGGAGTTATGCAACTTAATTGTATAGAATTTTGTATGTTCTACTGAGACACACTTATTCAATTAACGCTTCAAAATAAGATTGTATTATGAGCTGTCTAGGATGCGTAATTTAGCCAAGGAAAATGCACATTGTATACAAAACAGCATAAAGCCTTCTAACTTTTTTATAAAGGTAATTCCAAAAATATTCCAAAAAATCATGGGTTGATATTGGAAATCATGCCAAATCCCTTATGTTGGTGTTGGTCCATTCTGGAAGTGACTTCCAATATTATCTATGTTTATTTTCTTTGGCAGGTGAATTTTACCCACAATTGTGGGTAACATTTTATCCATAGGAACAGCATTTGTAGGAAACATCCTGCTCAGTCCCTGGCATGGCACATACTCAGTTGCTCCGTGAGGATGGCCCGTGCACAGTGTGATCACAGATAGGATTTGTGGGGGATGGAGTGTGAATAGTTCATCTAAAATCTTCAGAGAATTTAGCTGCCAAACTTAAGTTGCTGAGCATGTGCAAACTGCAGGGTTTTTTTTGAAGGTTTATATAACTTGGCCAAATTTGGGCAGGTTTTCCTGGGGGTGGCAAAAGGCATACCACTGACAACAGAGAAAGCCTCCTGAGAGATTTTGAGTCCCTGAAAGTGGTAGAACTTCTCAACAAAATGGTTGCAAGAATATTTTAACATGGGGCAAACAACATATTTTCTTCAAGTCTTGTTATTAGAAATTGCTAAACTATTTTTACTGAAACTTTACAGAAAATTCAGTCTGAGACAGACACCTGGCACAGAAAATTCCTTCCTGAATGGTTAAAAGAAAAATTATAAGCAACTGGAAACTAGGTCTCATAGTAAGAAATGTTGGGCTGCAGTAACTATATGCATTGCTTCCAGCTCCACCAATAAGAATGGAATTACATGGATATGTAAGCCATGAAAGAGGCAAACCCATACTCATGACACACATCATTGTGATTGTAGGTAACTAAATGACCATGGAATCTGGTGCAGAGAACCAGCAGAGTGGAGATGCAGCCGTTACAGAGGCAGAAACCCAACAGATGACTGTACAGGCACAACCGCAGATTGCAACGTTAGCCCAGGTACAGAGTGATTTGGTTTAATATTTTTACAGCGTTGTTCCCAAACTGCATAAGGTTTAGGAAGGAAACTATTTTCTGAGGAGGATGAAAGAATGTTCCATTTTATGTGAGTCTAGAACAGGGAATATGTGTATTTCTTTTAATTTTGTAATGAGAGTTGTACAGTACCACTTGTTGGTTTATCTTCAATATCATATTGGACTGTGTTAGGCCTGAAGTAGTTTTAATGCAGGGATGTGCTTGCTGTCACTTCCCGCAGCCCCCATTGGCCTGGAGCGGCGAATCCCGGCCAGTGGGAGCCGCGATCGGGCAAACCTTTGGACGCAGCAGGTAAACAAACCGGCCCGGCCCGCCAGGGTGCCAAAGGTTGCCGATCCCTGCTTTAATGTATAATCCATTTATAACGAGACTACAGATATAGACTTTTGAATTACTTCTTTTCACTTGTAGCATTCCTTCCCACCATCCTTTAAAGATACTTCGAAACTTTGAATTACTGTGTTTCTGTACTGACTTGTATAAACAGGATTTTGCTTATTTTAGTTAGGAACTTTGTTATGACAGTATAGGTATTTTTTAAGAAAACAAACTGATTTGTTTTATATGGTTAAATAATGCAGAGAATGCATAAATTAACAAAAGGGATGGATATAACAAACATTATAATTTGTTTTATGCTGTTTGCTCATTATCAGAAACTCAAATTCTGCAGAGTTGTCTCCCTTTTACTGGGGCACTGTTAGACCCTTTATTGTCTCAAAAAAAGTTACTTTGTAGAGGCCAGAAATAATGCAAACCTAATTATCGTCTTAATTTCTGGAACCCAGTTCTATCCTGGGTTCCATTGATGTTTGCCAGGAGTAACTCCATCATGTAAATGAGTACAGAATATGTCCTATGGCATCAGTCCCTTGTGTAACAGTTTCACTTTGTAAATTATTTGCATTCCCCCCGAAGTATGTAAAATTACGTCTCACTCCCATCTCTTTATTTTGTGAATTTCTGACGTCTTACTTATGGTATGATTATGAAATCATTTACCACTTGCATGTTTACAAAAACACATGACACCTTGTAATAGGCAAGTGTTAAACTCTTTTCACTGGGATTATAGTCTTATGTAATTGGCAATATTGAAACACTGAGAATTTAGCAGTATAGTAGGGCTCTATTTAGTACTCATTACTCAGGCAAAATTCCCAGTAAAGTCCATATGGAAGTTTTGCCTGAGTAAGAAATATAGAACAGGATCCTAGATAATTAAGAATTGGGTAACTGCAAATAAGTGTTTAATGCCTTTCCCAATTGTTATTCACTATACTATTTTACAGATTTTTTTTGTTACTTTGAGTAAGTTATAATACTGTTGCTGCATTTTTTCACACCATCTTAGCTTTACCCTATCTGTACCTTTATACTGAAGTGTTATTTTATTATAAGACTTTTAACTTGTGTTATGGCTATCCAGAGCATTGGATGTGCACCTATAATCACTTTTACAATCTAAATAAATAATATCAATGTAATTCTTTCATGATCTCATTTTCAGAGAAATGTTACTCTCTCTTTATAACACTTCATATACTTATAAAATTTGCGGATGACACCAAGCGGAAAGGGTTGCAAGTAATTTAGAGGACAGGATTAGAATTCAAAATGATCTAGACAAATTAGATAATTGGTCTGAAATAAACACAATTAAATTCAATAAAGAGAAGTGCAGAGTTCTTCATTTAGGAAGGAAAAATCAAATGCACAAATACAAAATGGGGAATAACTGGCTAGGTGGTAGCCCTGCTAGAAGGGATCTGGGGATTATAGTGGATCATAAATTGATTGACAATGTGATGCAGTTACATTCTGGGATGTATTAACAGTGGTGTAATATGTAAAACACTGCAGATAATTGTCCTATTCTACTTGGCACGGGTGAGGCCTCAGCTGGAGTACTGTGTCTGGTTTTGGATGCCACACTTTAGGAAAGGTGGGAACGAATTAGAGAGTCCCAGAGAAGAGCAACAAAAATGATAAAACCTGACCTATTGGGTAAGGTTAAAAAAACTGGGCATGTTTAGTCTTGAGAAAAGAAGACTGAGAGGGGTCCTGATAACAGTGTTCAAATATGTTTAAGTCTGTTATAAAGGGGACAGTGATCAGTCGTTCTGCCTGTCCACTGAAGGTAGGACAAGAAGTAATCTGCAGCAAAGAAGATTTAGGTTAGATATTAGGGAAAACTTTCTAACTATAAGGATACTTTAACACTGGAATAGGCCTCCAAAGGAGGTTGTGAATTCCCATCATTAGAGGTTTATAAGAACAGTTTGGACAAACACTTGTCGGGGATGGTCTACGTTTATTTGGTCCTGCCTCAGTGCAGGGGCTGGCCTTGATGATCTCTGGAGGTCCCTTTGAGCCCTATGTTTCTATGATTCTATCATTTTATTGTTGCATTTTTGGAGGGCTGGGGAATGCTCCCCTCGTAAAGAGAAAAGTTATACTGGCTATTTTGAATAAGGTAAACTGATTCCATAAGGTATGAGTCAGAAACATCTGCCGAAATGATTATCAGATGTTGGCTTAGCTCAACTGCAGAACAGCCTTCAGTTGATTAGCTTTGCTTTCATTGGCAAGAACTACTTTAGTCAGTTGGATTCATTATTAATAAGGCCACATGATGATGGAACTTAATCTGTCTTAAAAAATTACATTAAAAAGAGGATTTTTCTGCAAGTTTGTACCCTACTGCCTGAGAAGCTTGTCGCCCAGATTGTTTACTACCCTTCCTCCAGCCAACTGACATCATGGCACAAGTGCCCCTCAACTGCCAAAGAAGAGTAGCGGTTTGTGAAATTGGTCAAGTGCCGCTGTGCAAGAATGCAGTGCATCTTTGCAGGCCATCTTCACAATAAAGAGAAAAAAACAGGCACCAAATATGGAGAATAAAGGGGAGACAACTGGGTTGTCCAAGTACAATTTCCCTTGATTTTCTGTCAAACAAGGCTTCCACATAAAGGATTGTTGGTTAAGGAAATTCAGAGATCAGTGTTTTGAAAATCATTCATTTGTCAAGATCTAAATTTGTTCACTTCTGCGTTACAATAAATATTAATGCTGCTATACGACATTATTCGAGGCTCATGGAAGATAGAAGTGTAATCTTTCCTGCATTTTTAGTCAAAAGTTATTACGTTTCCTGAAAACTCCATTAAACATAGTGACATTGATTAGAATTTTCAAACTTGGGTCTTTGAAGGCTCGTCTACATGACACAGCAATGTACACTAGTTGCGTATTAACATAGCGTTACACGGAACTTTTTATGCTCGCCAGAAGGGTCTACGTGGACCAGTTAGCGCACAGCACATCTAGTGTGCATTGCTGCACCATGTAGACAAGCTCTAAATTAAGCTTCAAAAACCATATTTAGGCACCCATGTTTGAAAATTGTAGCCATTGTTCTATGTAGCAATAAATTAACTCTTAGTTGAGTATCGTGCAGTATAGCATTGTAATGACTACCTAGAAGCCATTTGTTTCCATTGAAAGCATGCATTGTTACTCCGTTTGAACAGTTGGTCTGTGAGCTTTATTTAAAAGGACATGCCAACTACTTGATTTGATTTACTTTGTGGCTATACTTTCTAACAAGTCTGAAAATTTGACTCCCTAACTAATTTTGACTTTTTACAGTTGGCAAATACTCTCCTGCATTTTCTAGTCTGAAAACAAAAATAGCCCAGCTCCCATAGTTTTCTGCCTGTGAGTCAGCAACATATCATAGAATCATAGAATATTAGGGTTGGAAGAGACCTCAGGAGGTCATCTAGTCCAAACCCCTGCTCAAGACAGGACCAACACCAACTAAATCATCCCAGCCAGGGCTTTGTCAAGCCGGGCCTTAAAAACCTCTGAGAATGGAGATTCCACCACCTCCCTAGGTAACCCATTCCAGTGTTTGGAAGGAAATATTCACTGTAGGAATATTCACAGTTCTAGCAATATTTAATTGCTGCAAGGGAAGGGCGCATATTAGGTTTTGATTACATTACCTCAAAATAGAGGTGTTTCCTTCATTTTTTGGCAGTGGTTTTATAACAAGATGTTTAGAGCCAGAGGGACATTCTTCAGAAGATTAAGTTACAAATTAGGACAAATGTTGGGGCTAGACAGGGGTGTGTTGGTTTTTTGTTTTGTTTTTGTTTTTTGGTGTCCCTTTTAAACACTTTTGGTTACCAAAGCCCTTCCTAGGAGAGGAGGCATCATCCTTTTACTACTGAGAATGTTCTTGGTAGTCAAATAATGAGATGCTGCAATAATCTAATATATATTCCCCCTCTCTCTTTTGTAGGTATCTATGCCCACAGCTCATGCAACATCTTCTGCCCCAACGGTGACCTTAGTACAGTTGCCTAATGGGCAGACAGTTCAAGTCCATGGAGTTATTCAGACAGCCCAGCCATCAGTTATTCAGTCTCCACAGGTCCAGACGGTTCAGGTATGTATTAAAGGATTTCAAACTCCTAACTCATGCCTTCTATATAACCTTATCAGTCCACCTTAATCGAACTTACGATGTGTTCTGTGTCATGTCAACTTAGAATATGTTGAAAGGAAAGTCTGTACTTTACTTGTTATCCCATTACTTTTGTCTCTTTCCTTATGGTTTATCTGCTTTTCGTTTCTATACGTTATTGAGTTTCATTTCCCTCTAGAAGTTGGTAAGCCTATTAGGTTATGCTTTTTGCTGACACTATTTCTATATCTGGCTTTTACCTGCTGCAAAGTTAACATTACTAGACCATTTTTTTGTCTGTTTAGTGACTTCTAAGATGTCTCATTTCTGTATCTTAAATGAACAACAACAAGAATTTTAGAGATTGCCAATTTACTAATGTGGCTGATGTTCAGGAATCAAAAGTTTTTGCTTCTTGGAAAACATTTGTACTGATTTACATGTGCATTTCTACCTCTGGCAGGTTGCAATAAGTTATTTTAATATTCATGTTTTGAACATTAATTTTATAAAACCTTAATAATTGCTTGATGCTGTATAAACAAAGAAAGACAATACAGTTCATGATTCACAGGATGAAAAGCCAATCTCAAAATTTATTAGAGACTTGGAGAAAGGCTTCAGTAGTCCAGAAAGCCTTAGTCTTAATCTCTACTGTGGTTCCTTCTCTGAGCAACATTTTAAATTACCTTTTAAATCTAGTGTTGCTGAACATGGAAGCAGGAACTATTTAAGCTGTTACTGACCACATAAGATAAGGATGGTAAATCATTTTTTGGGCATTGGGAACCCACAGAGATGAGAACTAAATTAAATTAAAAGCTAACTATTGAGATTTTTTTTAATAGAGGTATTTAAACCAGTATTGATTAAAAAAAAATTAGGTGACACTTATGCTTTAAAATTGGATCATTCTGATAATGATCTTGGTTATTTCCTTGCATTGCTTCAGTTCCGTACTTTTGTCAGCCTCTACCTACCTCAGACTATTGGAGTTAGAGTTTAATGTTTTATCCAGTTAGAAATCTGGAGCTGCACAATTTTCAGGTGGTATGTGGCACTAGTGATTCAAGGTAAGAGACTGATGATGAAATCATGTTGGAATTCAGAACGGAGGATGAAATGCAAAAATGTATTTTGTATGATGATATTTACAGTCCAATACTCCACAGTCTGCTATGGTTGTATAACCCTTTAGCATGGCTCCAAGGAGGCCTTAAGAACCAAGTATACCGCATGAAATCAGGAAAGGCTCCTGCAGGACCGCCATATCCTTGTAGAGTTTTATAATTGGTTCTGTCACAACTGCACTCCTCATTCCCTTTGTCTCCAGACCCTTCTGCTTTCAATCCCACGTTGCTTCTAGTTACTGTGTCTCCAGACCTGACTGCCTACCTTGCTTTGGTTCTTTGGACTGGATGGAAGCAGGATAGAAAGAAGGAGTTATGGAAAGAAAAAAGTGGGTGGAACCATTATTTATAATAATTTGCCCATTATATATTCTCTCATTTGAGTGACTTAATTGTTAAATACATTTCTGAAGCTAGATGGTTGACTTTGGGCATCTATGTATCCAGTAACCAGTGATCAACTATTACTTTTGATTTTCTAGGTCAAAGTCCTGTATAGTACGTGTATTGATAATGTCTTCCGCATACTGTGAAAACTTGCTTATAGTGATAGATTTATTACTGTAGAAGTGGCTTGTTAAACTTGCTTACAGTGGTAAATTTATTCTGTTCTTATTTACAGATCTCCACTATTGCAGAAAGTGAAGATTCACAGGAGTCAGTGGACAGTGTCACAGACTCTCAGAAACGCAGAGAGATCCTTTCCAGACGACCCTCCTACAGGTATGGATGTTAAAAGCTGAAGCATTTTGTTTGATGCATTTATTCAACAAATGGGTAGACAAATAGTGTGTTTCTGTAGTTAATGTGAGATCTACCTTTTTTACTAAAATATTCCTTCAGTGACACCTTTCCATGACCAATTTCTGATGGGATGCCAGGAGATAAGCAGAATAAGATATGGAGGAAGAGACAAATATCTGCCATTATGGAGAGATAGGAAAGAAAATCAGTTGAGAATAAGTTCAATGCTAAATAAATCTATATGTGTAGCATTTAGGTACAACTGTGAGAGAAGCCTTAGAAGTTGCGTAAACAGATATTTAATTCTTGGAGCGCCACTGAAATGTGCAGGCAGGTTGCTGCTGTGTATTCTGTAGTCTCTGTAGAATCAACTTTTCTGTTTGTTGTTAATGTTGAAACACTAGCAATAGTCAGATTTAATTCTTTCCTTCACCTGAGACTTTCAGTGGAAACATGACATTGTGTGGCTCATTAAAATTGCTTTGATATTTCTTAGAATTTGCCATGCTTCTTGGGGAAAACTAGCTAATAACCAAACAGGCTGCAGGTGCCCAGCAGAGAGGGAAGTGGCCTAGTCAAGCTAGTTTACATGTATTATTCTCTTCAAAATGCTGGAAATCAGGAATGTCTTGGGTGTGAGTTAGAGCTAGCCTTGGGCATCTCTAACTTGCATGCAAGCACTTATGCAGCAGAACAACTGGTATTTTTCTTTAAATCAGATATTCATGTCTTCCTTTAGTAAATGCCCATGAATGTTACAAAGAACAGCTTATTTCTGGCAGGGTTAAATTTTCTTCTGTATTTGAGTAATGAATCAATTTTTAAAATTTAGTCCTGTGGAGCAATTGATTATATGTAATTCCATTCAGCAATGCTTTTTGGTGTGCTGAAATTGACATTTATACTTACTTTGGCATTGAAGGTCTAGAATGAGCCCCACATCTTCAGAAAATGTGCAGGGACAATGTCAGTAGCAGATATGGAGACAGTACTGGAATCACTTATTTGGATCAGAATTGGCTTTGGGACCCATAATCATATGCACACTAAATCTCTGATTTGGGGTCCTTAAAATGAGAATCTCACCTTTCGTTTTAAAACATATTAACTACACAATTTTAATAAGCAGTCACAGCTCCCCTCAATGTCAAAGTGATTTGTTGGTGCTCAGTACTTCTGAAAATCCAGCTCTAAGTTTCTAGCCCTTTTTTGTGAAAATTGGCTTGAAAATATAAGCCAGTCACCCGGCTTGAAAACTTGTTATTCATTTTTCCTAGAGTGCGCAGGTTATTCTGTGTCCCCTTCTAGAGCCATTCAGGGTCTTTGGGGGTCCATTAAAGTCATGACGGCAGGCTTCTAGATTTTATGAGTGCCCCAGGTGTGTTTGTAGCTGTGGAGGGGAGGGCTACTGGTGTTAAATCTGCCACAGACTTCCTCCTAGTCAGCTGTCTGCAGCTGAGCTTTTTCCTCTGTTGAGCACCTAGTATGACCTCTGACCACAAGGAAAAGGCAGTTGAGCGAAATAAGGCAACAGAGTTTAGTGAACAAGGCAGAGCACTGAGAACAAGGGACTCATGCGTTCTAATCCCACATTTAACACTGACTCCGTCTGTAGCTTTGGTGAAGTCACTTAGGGCCAGATTCTGTCCCCCTCAAGCCAGCTTCTATGTGCCATTTAGGCAGGAGGAAACTCAACTGGTGTAAAGCTGGTGTACCTGGCTCCTATGCCAGCCAGCCTCCCCACCCCAGCGGAAGGGTCGTGTTGGAACAGAAAGGGTCGGGGCCAGAGTACAGCAGTGTTCTGCCAATTCTCAGCTAGCATAATCCAGGCTGCTGTAATTTACATCAGGGACAGGGCTGGTAGAGATCAGCCCACAGAATCAGGGAGCCATAACCAGCTCCTTGATGACCCCACCTTCACTTTGCTTGTCCATTTTTTCCTCAGATATCTTGCACATTTTCCACACCACCTGATGTGCATGGGAGAAACTCCCCATCTAAATTTGTAAAGCCACCGCCTTATCATCTTTGAAATTCCTCCTTAACACTTTACCTCTTCACAGTACCCACCATGCCTTGGTTAGGAAAGTGGTGAGCTGTAATTATAATTTCTGCTTTTCTGATAACTGCTGTTCAGTTTTATTATTACCTCATCCTTCCAACCCCCCATCTTGTTTGTCTGTTTTGTCCACCTGTCTCATCCTTTCTGTCTCATCACCTGTCCAACGCCTACATTATAAACTCTCCAGGGAGATGACTGTTGTCTTTGTTACTTGTCTGTGTAGCGCCTAGCAAAATGAGGAGCTGATCTTCAATTGGGGTTCCTAGGTACTAACAAAGTCTAATTAATAATAATAACAAAGCCTTATTTCTATCTTTGTCTCAAATTGTTTGGTAATTGACTAGCCTCCTTGGAATACAGCGGGGGTTGGCAACCTGCGGCATGCGTGCCAAAGACAGCACACGAGCCGATTTTTAATGACACGCTGCTGCCTGCCGGGGTCCCTGCCCCACTCAGCCCCCCCGCCCACCGCTCTCTCCTGCGGGTGCAGGAGGCAGAAGCTTGGTCCCAGCCGTCGGCCCCGCTCAGCCCGCTGCCAGTCTGGGGTCCCGGCTGCCAGCCCCTTGCCAGCCGGGGTCCCGCAGACCCGCTCAGCCCGCTGCCGAACTAGGTGAACAGAACCCCAGGCCAGCAGCGGGCTGAGTGGGCCAGCGGCGTAAGATCAGCATTTTAATTTAATTTTAAATTAAGCTTATTAAACATTTTGAAAACCTTGTTTACTTTACGTACAACAATAGTTTAGTTATATAATATAGACTTACAGAGAGACCTTCAAAAAACGTTAAAATGTATTACCGGCACGTGAAACCTTAAGTTAAAGTGAATAAGCGAAGACTCAGCACACCACTTCTGAAAGGTTGCCGACCCCTGGAATACAGCAATATATAGGTTTGGCTACCAAAGCCAGGCAGAAAAATTCAGTGTAGTCTGGGCCTGGGTTCTTCAAATGTTTTTGGATGAGAACTAGGGTGCAGTCCACAACAGAAAATCCCAATTTGCCTTGCTGCCTAAAGAAGCCTTTTGCAGTTGCATATGATGGAGCATGCAGTCAATAAAAGAGAGTTTGCCACTCCTCCATATTCTTGGTAGAGAGAGTTATCAGTCCAGTTGCAGCACAGAGGCCAGGTGGTAGACCCAAGCATTTTGGGCGGCTGTTTTGTTTAGCAGCTGTCCCAGTCAGTTCTAGTCATAGTTCGTGAGATCCATGGCCTTTATGATTACAGTAGAATCTCAGAGTTACGAACATCTCAGGAATGGAGCTGTTCGTAACTCTGAAATGTTTGTAACTCTGAACAAAACGTTATGGTTGTTCTTTCAAATGTTTACAAGTGAACATTGACTTAATACAGCTTTGAAACTGTACTGTGAAGAAGAAAAATGCTTTTAACCATCTTAATTCAAATGAAACAAGCACAGAAACGGTTTCATTACCTTCCTTATCTTGTCAAATCTCTTTTTAAACTTTCTCTTAATTTTTTTAGTAGTTTACGTTTAACACAGTACTGTGCTATATTTGCCTATTTATGTATTTATTGTCTCTGCTGCTACCTGATCGCATACCTCCAGTTCCAAATTAAGTGTGAGGTTGACCAGTCAGTTCATAACTCTGGTGTCCATAACTCTGAGATTCTATAGTATATGTTTTGTCCATTTTGGCTTTGAATAATTAAGCCAACTCAGTAATTAAACCCAAATTGCTCTTTCCGCCCCTTTACTATTGTAAATCCAAAAGCTTTCTCAAGCAGAACAATTACCTAACCTGTGGACTTAATTGTGTGACTTTCATTAAAACGCCCAGCCTTGTCTCCTGAACGGATGCTAGGTCATGAGCTGATTGCACTTCACAATCATTTCTGCTAAGTTTTTGAAACTTAAGTCCCTGGGTGAAGTTTAGGCCTTGGTGGCCTCTGCAGCAGGAACACGTCCTCTGGGTGTGGATGGTGGCAATGAGGAGGTTTGGTGCTTTAAATGCTCTTGCTTTCTTTTTTCACATCTTGCTGTGACAGAGAGCAGGAAACTTGTAAAAAGTATATCAAAGATAAAGAAGTTTTTGAAGAAAAAGGGAAAATGTGAGTTCTGGATCCAAGTATGCAGAAACACACAGGCTATTCTAGATTGAGCACTCTTTTCCTATGGCATTTTTAACATGGTTACCTAAAATCGTTTTAAAGCGTGCTTTAATTTTTCTTCCCATCCCATGTAATTTATTTCCTTATTTGCTGCACTTTTCAGTTTTCCCCAGCACCAAGTAGCCAGTAGAATTGATTTTACTTTCACTTTTTGTTAAAATTTTTACAACACACTGTCTTTGCCAGAAAAATTTTGAATGACTTGTCCTCAGACGCCCCAGGAGTGCCAAGGATTGAAGAAGAAAAGTCCGAAGAGGAGACATCAGCACCTGCCATCACCACTGTGACAGTGCCAACTCCAATTTACCAAACCAGCAGTGGGCAGTACAGTACGTAGTTACATCTATTATTGGTTGTAGTAGTTGGACAGGAAGAGAGAGAACTGTTAAATTCTTGCATGACTTTCGGGCTGGGGTAGAAGAAGTCAATATAACATTAGTTTAATCTGACCCTTGTGCAATGTCAGAAGCCTTATTAATCCTGTTCCATGACTATATATATATACTAGGGTCTGTGACTTCTAAGTACATTCCAGCTGTGGGTATGTAAAATGTATAACTTACATTCACAAGGCCTGTTGGTTGCTGTTAGTATGGTACATGTTCTACTGTCCAAGGTACAAAAGGGATTAATCAGAGTGCTTAATTAAAAACTTTCTTGGGAGAGGAAAGCTATTGGGGCATTTCAGAATTTGCCTTCTTAGCTAATATTTCTGTAGTTTTGGCTTAAAAATTTTTAACACCTATAATATATAATAAAGTAGCAATTACATTTTCAGATAGACAAGAAAAAAGCAGGGCTTCAATAACCTTATTTGAAATGCATAATAAATTTCAATTTCTGTGTTTGCAACTTCTTTATTCATTACATTTTATGGGTATGTCACCTTTGATGCAAATCACTGGGGAAAATAACAGGAGGATGCAGCAATAAAACAATAGTTATAAACATCGGCTAAAACAAACAGAGCACTCGCTGTTAAGTGTACAAGAAGGGGAAGAGAAGATCTATCAAATGACTTATTCCTCTTATAAGTGTCCTTTTAAAAGCATTGTGCTATAGTTGCTCCCTGGTCGGTTCCCCAGTCTGCCTCTTGATTTTTTTAGAGATTGATGGTGCTGACACTCCGCTTCTACCATTGATGTACAAATATTTTTCCTGCAAATATCTGCTCTGCCTGATACATCCTGATATATGTGTGGAAAAGCAGAGAAATATTCTAGAGGCGCTGAATGAGGGGATCTGTGTAAGATGTGCTCCCACTGCAGCCTGAATACTGGGATGGAAATTAGTAGATTGTGGGAGTGAAAGGGAAGAGGAAACAAAATTATTAGATGGAATGAGAGACTGGATATGTGTGTGTGGAAACAATGCATGGGAAGGGGATGGAGAGGTAGTGGAGAAGGGGATTCAAGCAGGAAAAGACGCTGGAGAACAAAATGGACACAGCAAGGTGAAAATTGAAGAGAAAAGCATGGAGAGGAGAGGAATTAGAAAAAGGAGCAGAAGGAAAAAAAGAGAAAAGAGCACGTAGCCAACAAAAAAATCATCAACTCAGTAAATACTACAATTCTTGGTTCTACATTGGGAGGGCTGTAGCTTATCTTAGGAATGTGATTGGTAGGAGAGGCAATACTTGGTCTATATTTTTGTCTGTCAGAAAGGTGGCAACCTTATGGTACTGAATGAAATGATAGTAGGTCACTGCTGAAGAATGACCACTTCTAAAATACAGTTACAATGACCTGTCTGATGTTAAGGTATGTAGTTGTGCAAGGGATTTAACTCAGATGTTTCAAACTGTTCTTCTGTAACTGGGCTGTAAACTGTAGTAACCATGTCGAATAAATTAATCTTTTAACTATTGTATCAAATGTATTTGTTTTCAGTTGCTATCACCCAAGGAGGAGCAATACAGCTGGCTAACAATGGCACAGATGGAGTACAGGGCCTCCAGACGTTGACCATGACGAACGCAGCTGCAACCCAGCCCGGCACCACCATTTTACAATATGCGCAGACCACTGATGGACAACAGATTCTTGTACCGAGTAACCAAGTTGTTGTACAAGGTAAGAAACTTCATAATCCATCATTTTATGTTTAGTCCTAGGGGAATTTAACTTGCCAAAATAATTCCCTCAAATATGTCAGAAAAAGGAATTAACAGTTTTGGCACAGATCAAATTCTAAAACAGATAAAATAAATTTCAGACAAAACCATATGTCACATTTTCGCTCACTCAGAGCAAACTTAAGATATTTTTGGATATAGAAAATGCTTCTATTTCGGTTCCTGAAAGCTAGTTCACTTTTGTTTTGTCCATACCGTATTTCCTTCAGCAGTTTCAAGAGAATGTTTGCTATCTGTTCCCCAAAACCTGTAACACAAATTTCTTGAGAGTTCCTAATTTCTGTCAAGTGGTTATCTGTAATGATGATAAATTAAAAGTAAAGTTTTAGGAATGTTTTCCTGTTCTTTGGGCAGAGATCTGTTCACAATGTTCTTTCCATAGGGGAATTTTCCTTTACTAGTAATTTACTGCCCTCTCCAGTTAGAAATCACTGTTTCTTTTTAATGCTCTTTCTGGCACTACAAAATAGACATGGTTAAAAAAAGATGCTTCTGATTTTGCTCTGACTCTGTTCACGTCATTCAAGGAAGAGACTTTCAAGCCTTTATAAATATTAGTACATTAAGATTAATGTATATGTATGAGGAACATATGTCTTGTTGATCTTCTGTCTTGTATATTTTTTTTAAAAGCCATTTTTTCAAGTAATAGTGAAAATGCAATAGACTCCCAAGTAAATAAAAGCTGATCATACTAAAGAAATAGTATTGTGCTATGGACTGTGTTTCAACGATTAGTGTCTAAATTGCACGTGTGCCTGCTGTGGATACAAATCCTACATTTCTGCACAAAACCCCCAGATACTTACGTATGCAATTACCATTTCACATCTGCAGTTAGTCATTTGGAGTTCACCTAAAAA